AAAAAAAAAAAAAAAAAAAAAAAAAAAAAAAAAAAAAAAAAAAAAAAAAAAAAAAAAAAAAAAAAAAAAAAAAAAAAACCGACAAAATTCCTTGACCGACAAATATTACCCAGATTTCCGGGTAAGGCGATTATTACTATTATCAGCAGTGAAATTTTTCAATTTTTCGTAATCGCGTACAGTATCGTCATTAAATTTTTTTTAAAGCTTTTCAAAGGAAGGTCGTCTTTTTGGATTCGTCGATTTTTGCGTATTTTCGATGCCTCGCGTGGAACATGGAATTGACCACGTGTGTTCCCTGATGGAATTCGTCATGGTTTCAATTGCGAAATTATCGCGAGCGATTTGCCCGCACGTTTCAGAGAAAATTAGTCTGTGACCAATTAAGGTAATGAGGTAATTGCAGTGTCAAAAAAAGGAGCCATATCGAGAGTTTTATTTATTTTTTACGTCTCTCTCTCTCTCTCTCTCTCTCTCTCTCTCTCTCTCTCTCTCTTATTACCTCTTTTCTCCTTTTTGATCTTATCCCTGTTCCTTATAGTGAAGTTTTAGTATAGCGTGTCTAAATGCATAACCTCTTTTCTTATTCGCCAGCCTCGGGGGGATCCGTGACATAACGGTGTATTATATTATTTTTGCTTCAGTCCGTACACATTCGAGTAATGTCTACAGAAATTCTCAAAAGAGAACTGTCAGAAATAGTAACCTTTTTTTTTTTGAAAATATTAATTTTCAAAAACGACCGTCGAACCTCTCTTTGCTCATCAAACACAAAAAGCCTTAAATCTCCTGATACAAAATGACTATAAGCTCGTCGCAAAAGTTGCAGTGAAAGTTTCACGTCCGTGTGAAACTCAAAAATGAAAAATATTTTCTTAAAAAATTAAAACCTTTTTATCAATCATTTATTTATCACAGACGCAACAAAATAACGGTAGCGTATAAGAAAAAAATTTGTTTCCACCCTCTATGCAAAGTAATTCAATCCCACTAATGAACTATAAACCATAATACATAATTTCACATAAATAACTTTTCCGCGCTAGACTATCAAAAAACCAGAATTCTCGTAAATTTTACTTTCTCACTATTTTCTTCATTATCCCTGCCAAAGCAATATTTAAAAACAATACTACCGAAATTTCCTCGGTTCATTAATCCGCGTCGACCAGATGGAAAGTCGTAAAATGAAAAAAAAAAAAAGTTTCCATCAATCACTTAATTGTCGATTACAATTATGAATTAAAAAAATATATATATATATTACGTATTACCGATAAAAAAAATACTCAATACCTAACAAACGACAAAAAAAGTTATCGTGCCATAATCAAATAATGTATAACAATTCTTATATGTTATAACCATATATATACATATACATGTTATAAGAACGGACATTCGTAACAGTGCGGACGTAACATTACGCAATTCCAGCAGCTCCGATTACTCCGTACATAATACACAGACGGCATATCGAGAAATAATCGCTCATCGAAATGCAACAATTAGGGCGGCTACGAAAGTGAGACCTTGGCCTCGGGCGACAAAACGAGATAAATAATGGACCGTTACCGGTGCACGCTCACAGAGGAATAGTAACGCTTACTTAACCTCCTAGACTCGACATGTAAGATCAGAGGCGCGAAATTGTCCCGGATTTCATCTCAATCCAGAGCAAGTTAACTGACCTGCGATTAATATTAAATAAGGAGTGACACTTCCGCTCGGTGAGGTCAGGTACGTCTATTAACGTAACAGTTTAAAAATGGACAGTAGTGCACCAACAAGAACAAAGAAACGACGTAGGTAAGAAAGTGGGTGAGGAATTGCGATAATTATTATCGAGTTACGTTTACGGATAAGTGACAGTAAATTTTTCTTTCACTTTGCCCACAGAAGCATATAATCGAGTTTGTGGGTTTTTGTGAAAAAAAGTGGCCCAAAATGATTAAATAGGTATATACACGCGTACCCTACTGGGCTAGACGCGCGTATTGCTCGAACTGTTAAGACTTTAGTTTTTTGGGGGAAAAAGTAAAAAAAAAAATTTTATCGTACCAAGTGTTTGTTACGAATGATTTTTTTTTTCAATTTAATTACGACTGACGTTTCATTCATTTTTCGAGTAAATGGGGAATAATTATGTGGGGTATTTTATATAATCGTGAGAGTGATAACGGATATCAGTATCTTCCTTATTGATTGCTGATAAGTTTTTGGCCGACAATCGCGGTAACTACGGTCGTTGAGACTGTGCCGGGTCAAAATGACCCAGCCGGTAACCGGTGGTTGGTAACAAGTGAAAAGATGCCGGATATATAAAAGTACGAATTTCGACGAGCTACTTTGGTTTTATTTTTACACGCGAGCGGATAAAAAGAAGAAAAGTTCTTTCGTTCATTCTGCTCGTAATCCTGAACGAGGCATAAGAATTATATAATGGCAATCAGTGCAGCCAATGGTCGTAGCTAAAAATTATTCGAATTCTATTGCTCTCTATGCGTTTCTCAATAACCAGAAGTTACAATGGCGAGAATGATTACGAATCCGATGTGATAATCGTTACTGTTTAACGAACTGTAATAGTCAATATAGACACCCTATATATATATATATACCTGATACATATAGACGTGTATGTGGTTACCGTTGTAAAATTTCACTATCATACAAATGGACCATTTGTAACCAGTAGAAGTTAGATCACAAAGACATGATAATTGATATGAACGAGCGGTAAGATAAAAAGAAATGCAGTTGAAGTGAATAAATTTCCAAATACTTTTAGAAGAAAAAAATTTTTTTTTTTCGACAACCAGAGTTTGAGATGAAAATAAAATCAGGAATCCAACTATTAGTCTTGACACTCAAGAAAAATTTCTTGATGATACGGATGAGAAGATAAGATTGAAAACACATGACTGCGTTTTTATAACGTCGATTTGTTACGGGTGAGAGTTGATAAAGAAGTGGATTGCGTAAATGTAACGTTCGTGCATCTTCGACTGTAGTCGGTGAACTTCGTTTATTTTTTTTTTTTAATATCGTTTCACTCGTTTCTTATACCGATCCAAGACGCGTCTGCGCCGATTCTGAAATCGGTTTGCAGAAAAATACTTTGGGGTAAAAAAATGCATTTTACAAGATTGACAAAAAATATATATATATAAATCCCAACCACAATGGCGTCTTTTAAAAAATTCGAATCTCAAGCGTCGATCGATCGACCGGGATGGAAGAAAAAATTGTACTCGGTAAGAATGATATCTCGATCCTGGTTACAGGTCATTCGTAACCGGAAGTTATTATTGCTTAACCGGAAACTTACCGTCCAGCCTCCGTCGGCAATTTCCTGCTCGCAGTAAACCTTGAGAAACCAGTAGGTCGTGCCACGAATTTGAAGATAGTAGACGCCGCTGTCACGCATGCCAGCATTCAGAAGATCCACGCACGAGTAGCCCTGAAACGATAAATACGAAGATTTTTATACGCATGGTAAAGTGCGTGACGAATGGGGGAAAAAACAAGTAAAAAAAAAAATACAAATATTATTTTAAAATAAATTTCATGTCTTCTCATCCAAATGATCTTGGCTCGATCCGCTCTGCCATAATCTGACACGATGATCGATGAAATCAGTGCAATCCATGATTATAATTCATCAGGCATTATTATCCTTCTACAAAGTCCAGATAATCCAGATTAAACTATCTATTCGTATTATCTATTTATTTATCTCGTCTATGTCGTAGGATAATGCGATTGAGTCTTATCGGTGTACAAACTAAAGTGAAATTGTCGGATATTAAATATAAACGGGAGCGTAATCTTTCACTTTTATGGACGTTAATTATAACGATTACCATATAAAGTGGTTGGCTCGTAATTAAGCCAAGGAACCATAGCGCTGACAGTGAGGAGAAAATTAATTCGTAAAGGATGTAGATCTCAGCCACTGGGTATGTATCTTATGCTATTATATATATATATATATATATATATATATATATATATATATATATAACTCAAAATTTATAAGTGCCTAAAATTGATGTTGGTACCTCGTTCTGATTTGTCAACTTTGACCTCCTCCAATTAAACAAAATTTTTCGGACAGAAGCATGGTCATTTCCTGATCTTTGATGCCTCCCCAACAAGGCCATACCTCCCGGAGGCATATGTGATTTGGGACACCCTGTATATATACAGCTAGACTAAAATAATATATCAACGTATTTCCCGTTATTCGAGAATCACCTATATGAAAAACATATGTGCACACGAAAAACAAAAGCAAGGAAAAAAAAACTCAAAATTTATAAGTGCCTAAAATTGATGTTGGTACCTCGTTCTGATTTGTCAACTTTGACCTCCTCCAATTAAACAAAATTTTTCGGACAGAAGCATGGTCATTTCCTGATCTTTGATGCCTCCCCAACAAGGCCATACCTCCCGGAGGCATATGTGATTTGGGACACCCTGTATATATACAGCTAGACTAAAATAATATATCAACGTATTTCCCGTTATTCGAGAATCACCTATATGAAAAACATATGTGCACATTACCACCATGTACCACAAGTCTACGCGCTACGCCAGCCGGGAAGTGATTTAAAATCACGAAACGAATAAATTCTATTTACGAGTAACCGCGGGCGAAATTTCTACAGGTTCGTTACCACGAATCCAGTCAATTGGTTAGTAACCAATTCCAATTCTTTCGCTATTAACATAGTCGTGCAGTGTTTCTATATATGCAGGATAGATTAAAGTAACGTGAAAATATATTTTTCCGTCATTGGCTTCAAGTCGATTGATATAATCTTAATATGGCCGCTTGTGCATTTGAATTCACCGTAATAAATTTCAGTTAGATAACGACTAAAGTGTCCGATTAAAATTCAATATTTAAGTAAGCAGCATACCCTAATTTTACTGTTTCATCAGTGTCTGACTACTGACGGATTTTTCTCCTGAAAAAAAATTGAAATTTAAAGAATTTTTTTGGGAATTTACGTATAACGAAAATTTTTATTCTTGCTCTGATTCGTGTGCTGTTATTGTGTAGACGCCTTTATTTCAACGAGATAACCATCTTATTTTACAATTTACAATTTTTTCTCTCTCACGTATCCCGAGGCAGTGTCTCAATGTACAATCGGAAACTGGCAAACCGGAAACAAGCCAAGAGTCTCAAGAGCTTATCTAACGACGTGCATCTCTTGGCAGCTTCTCTAAATCCTCCACACCGGATATAATTAATTTTAAGCTTAAATATTCATCAGCATCCGGAACGATTAAGCGTTCTTGTTTTTCTTTTAAAAAATTTTTTTACATTTTCTTTATGGGTGCCAAGATCATTTTGCAACGAATACCGGTCACTGTTATTATCTATACGGCAGCTGTATAACGTTAGTAGATATACTACTTTGGTAATCAGACGTAATCAGATACCACGTATGCTGTTCATCTAAGAAAATTTTCCCATCATTGAGGACATCGAACATTATGATATTCTATATATATGGTGCACTTTATGATTGCGAAAAATACCGCTACTTGGCGCGCACGGCGCTTAGATCTCGCAATATGTAAAGTTGATTAATGCATCTCGAGCAGCACTTTTACTCATCTGTGCTGGCTATGATTTGCGTTAGGTAAGTGCTCTGTGATTAAGGTGTGGGAGGAATGCCCTAATTCTCTTGTTCTATATCTACATATACGTGCATAAGTATATGCGACGACCATTATGATATATCGTGTTTGAGCTGATAGTAAGATTGCTATAGGCTTTACCAGGAACATCTCATTAATTAGGTTTTTTTTTCAGTGATCGATACGTAACATTTTATAATTGAGATTTAATTGGAGCAAGATTTTATAGGGAACCCTCTGTAGGATTGCAGGTTATATGATAAATCGTGGAAAAAAATTTTTTTTTAGATTCTCCCATTGTACTTTTTTTTCTGTCCGACTATAATTTGGTATTATCTACTCGTTAACTGAATATTGAGAATTTATGTGACTGCCGAAGCTGGATAAATATTAAGTAATTGGGGTAAGAGAGAAAAATCTGTATTTTCAGTCAGACTCGAATTTGGTGTGATCAATATGAATATTGAAAACTTGAACGTACCTAAAACACGTTTGATAAATGAATGTATTAGGAATTTAAAAATAAAAAAATACATTGGATATATTTCAATATTTTATATCCACTTTTGGGTCTGACTATTTTTCGATGTAATCTACTGGGCTCATCGAGCATTGAAAATCCAAATGCTCGTCGAGAATTTGTAATGTATTTATTTTTGGATCCTAATAAAATTAATACATTAGGATACTTTCGTTTTATAACTGGCTCCATAATTTATTACGACGTGGCCAGTTAGGTTGCGCGCGGACGCCCTCGGCGCGATTCGCGTTATTAATGAGTCGAACGATCATAAGGCCCCGCGTTTCTTGTTGCGCGCAAGCGCAAAAGTTCATCGGGCCCAGATCGAATTTAACCCAGCTGACCCAATTGTTGGGGTAACGCGTTTAACCGGCACTTCGTTTGATCCAATACGAACGAATAAGAATGAGAGTAAAGGAACCGAAAAAAATTGCAGACAATTTTGATATATTTTGAAAAATTCATAATAAAAAATTTTTTTTTCATACTTCATAAATTTGACACTTATAACATTAGAGTCACCGGACGTAATTGATAAATCTGTCACTGAAATTACGTAAAGTATAACAAGGAGCATTTAAAAATAACGAAAGAAAAAAAATACATATCGTTTTGCGCGACACGCCATGAAGTTTGCCTGAGATCGATATGAATATATAGGTATAGCTGAGCTAAGAAAGAAATTGCTCGTTCTCATTAAAGCGACTGTCGAAGTCAGTCGTCGCGGTGAATTGCAAACCCGGGTATAGCCGGGTCGGCGTTTCTTGCGTACGTTTGAAATCGCCACGACAATAAAATCGCTTGGAGCGATTTAAAGAATCATTGATAAATAAATTCTCAGCGATAATCGTGTGAGCGGAAAAAAAAAATACATGGAAACTGGACTTAACGATCACGACCAACGTAACAGTTAATACGTAGCCACCCCTTAGAGAATTGCCACATGACTTTCTCCTTGAGTTCAGTAAAAATTAAATTTCGCGAAATGAAGCTGCGAAAAAAATTTAAAAAAAAAATAACAAACACGCAAGAATAAAATCCCAAAAGAAAAAAAAAATTAAATCCATCATCGACAAGCAATTTCACGATATTCTCCGATCTCGTTATTGGAAAGTCATTCTTTTCGATGGAGCGAAATTCGCGAACGCGAATTAATTACCCATAAGACGTTCCAGTACGGCAAAGGCAAAGTGGCTGCCAGCGCGAGTGAAATTCCATGATAAAATTACGTAGTGCGCAAAATAAATAATTAGACAAAAGAATATTTGCAAAAGTCTCAAAGAAACTAGACCGTACTTTTATTTTCTATGTATACCATAAACAAGAAACCGCGCTCTTTGTAGAATCGACGTAAAACTAAAAAAAAAACGAAAGAACAAAGTGCCATCGACTTCCCGTTACAGATATTTCCAACATTTTCTTTAACGCACGCACTAATTTCTATATTAAAACAGCATTAACGACAGTATCGTAAATTTTCTTTTTCCCACTTTAACAATAACTGGCCAACCCCTTACGATTACTGCAGCGTCTATAAAATTTCAAATTACCCACAATGCCAACTTCTAACCTGTGTCTTATACAGATACGAAAATTAATACTGACTGTAAGTGCAGCGATAATAAAAATAATTTTTTTAAATAATTACTTTAAGCACCTTATATAGGGGTGAAACGACGTATAAGCAATTCGGATCATGTAGATTAATTAGATTCTCAAAATTTTCAACTTGATATTAATGACAATTTTAATTGTAATGAAAAGGATTAACGCGTCCAGGACCACCCGGCGTAAGATATTAATATCAAATGTGATTTCACTCCGAATGATTTATAAGTACGGGACGACTTGTGTCTTGTGTATTATTTTTTTTTCTTGATTCTCTTTTTTCATTTCTTTTTCTTTTCATTCCCTCCAAGAGCAAAGATTTCGGCGGGAGATGAAACAAACGATTCTTATTAAGAAGAAGCGAGATAATGATGAGTGACCGGACGTTCAAGATGGCGACTTGTCTTCGGGATAAGTTATGAAGAGCTGTAATTGCTCGGGCAAATTAATATATCCGCAACACACGTGGATCTGCCTGTACAGTGTATGCATATGTGGGAAGCGACGGTGATTGGAAGCGGAACCTTTCATGTTTCCTTTAAGTCGATGCTCGATCAAGAAATCAATTATATATCTTGTCATATATAAATAAAAAAAAAATTTATGAAAAATTTTTAGTACAGCGTACGATAAGTATATGTGGATATTGGTAAGATAAAAAAAATTGTTCAATATCCTTTATCAATTTCTGATACCAAAATTAGCCCACATAGTTGGGCTAAATAGTATAAAATTTTTTTGAAAAATTTCTTCACGTTGTATAACGTCCTTCTTTTTGTACAGGGACATAGATTATTGTATATAAAAATATTAGCTTTATGGTCAAAGTGAATTCCAACCAATTTGAGCACGTAATATCGTTTCGGATAAGAAACCGTATTCCAGATAACCACAGATCAAATGAATACGCGGATCTGCAAAGTACTTTCGAGACCTTTCCAAGAAAACCTCAAAACTTTTTATTAGCGTCTGAATTATGCACGCTCGTTTCCACTGATCCGATCAAAAATTAATGATCTTACTAGAATCATGTGGTTGTCCGATGGTCAGCTGAATTTAGTTTTTTCTTCTTCAACTGGCGTCGGTTTAGGACCAGCCCGGGACTATACCGAGAATCGGATGAGAAAGTTTAACTAGGGAAACTGAATTATGGTTTTTCATTGGCTCCGTATCACGCTTCCATAGTCATACGCTGACTCTGGTACAAAAAGAATTGACTGTCAGCTGATTAGTTTCCATCGAGAAATTTACCGTCAATTCGTTCCCAATCAATGATGCTGATGATCATAGAAAATTGATGATTCCTACCTTGATATCCTTCAAGTTGACCAACAGATCGGTAGTGAAGGTGGAATTGGCAGGGCTTGGCTTATTCTTAACACTTGGGAAGATGACACCGCGATTCCTTGTGGCTGAACGCTGACTAGAAGTTGCTGGAGTCATTGGTGACGTCACTGGTAGATTGTTGGAAGGCGGCGGCATTGTTGAGGTTGACTGAACTGTTGTGGCAGGCGGTACGGTGGTTGTGATAACAGTGGGAATTGATGTGTCGGTCACAAAGTCGTCGGTGACTGCGATGTATCTGTAAAAAAAATTATTTTTTTTTGAAAAAAAAAATTATCGATTGAATTTGAATTTTTTTGATTTTTTTCATAAATTTACCTAGTCGGATCGTATTCTACGAGTCGATCGATCGTCGGATCTAGAAGAAGTTCAGCAGGTACCGGACGTTGAGCGAGAGTGGCGACATCGTCTTCCTGTTTTCTCAACCTGCTTTCGACTCCTTCTAGATTTTCGATTATCTTATTCGTCTTTGTTCTCAGGTCAGCGTGAATTTCGCTTATCGCTCGTTCCTGACGCTGCGTTTGCGTCAGTAGCTCGTCAGATTTTGGTAAAAGATCGTCAACGGAACTCTTGGTGCCAACCTTCGTAAATAAAAATTAATTAAAATTAATTAAAGTTTGGAGGGTGCAGGGGCGGAGCTTCCGTGTCGAGCACACGAGGTAAGTGTTGTACCGTAATCTTTCTGATCGCTCCGGTGAGGACCTGCCCTTAGTTTCATAATGTAACGTTCACACTGATAAATATGGCGGATCGCGTTGCGCTCAGTTGCGGATGTACTTCAGGGCCAAGTGACCGTAACGTGTCTCACGATCGGCAAAGTGATAGTCAGTGAAGGTATCATTGCGTAGTTATAGTTAAAAGTCATTAAATGATAAAAAAAAAACTTTGAACGACAAATTATACAGACTCACCACAACGTCCCAGACTTCATCCATTTTTTCCGATACAGTTAACATGGGATGCATCTGTTCAACAAGACGATCAATTTTGCTCTGTCTAGGTGGCGCCTGAGTGGTGGTGACGTTGACCGAAGCTTCCTTATCGACGACTGCGTCATGGACGTCCCTTATCATGGTATAAACAGCGCCCAAATTATCCGAGACAAGATTCATATGGAATTGCAGCTTCCGGTCCATATTTCCAGTTGCCTGACGTAGATTCTCAATTTCCACTGACACGTGATTCATGACCTCGTTGTTCAAAGCTTTGGTGATCTCGATGACGTTCATACTGATTGGTTTTTTTTCACTGGCCTCGACATTGATGTCGTCACTGGGTAAGAAATTGTTATCCAATTGATTTTTCAAAACGACCAACTTGTTATCAATGTCCGAGACTTTTTGGTCCAGGGATATCAGCTTCTCTCCGAGAGATTCGGGCGAAGGGTCGTCGTGATGAATCAGTCGGATTATTGGAACTGAAGAAAAAAATGGTATTAAGGCGTGAGATGGGATAAATATTTTGGAAAATTTTTTTCAAAAAATCATCATTACCATCCTCGTTGCTGCTGCGACTTTCGGCCGTTCTGGACTCCAGTGCAGCTTCCGGTGGCAACGTCGGCTGCACGTGGAACAATTTCAGATCAAGCGTTCTCAATTTCGTTATCACGGCGTCTGTCTTATCAATGTTATCATTGACACGTGAATCCAAAGCCTCCACGCGTCTCATCAGATGTTCCACTGCTTTGTCCAAATTTTCAATGCGCTGCAGTTTCGATTCCAAGGTCGACACTATCACCTCAAAGACATTGAAGAGGTATTGCTCCCTGTTGCCAACATATGAAAAGAAAAAAAAATTGCAATCTTTAGATGAAATCAAAAAAGAAAAAAATTTTTTTTTAATGCACAATCTTTATTAAAAATTTTGAAATGGCCTATCCGTTATCAGGCTGCGATTCTCATCTATGGAATTGCACCGGATATACCAGGCAACAGTCTACGATACCAATCGCAATCGCGGTAAGAGGGAACCATAATGGCCGCTAAACGTTCCCGGTATTACTGCTGCATTTCTTAGGCGAATACTTAACTACATAGGTTCGTAAAACCGCAATTTCAACCATTACGCGGATTTCACTTTCAGAAACGTTTACAGCCGTATTTTTCCGTAACCTGATGCTTCGGGCACTACAGGCATCCTAATACCCGATTCCCCATAGGAAGCTGACCGGAGGCGATTTTACATAGTTTTTCTATATACATAGCGCCGGGAACGCGCTACGGTTTAAATCTGAAAATAGCCTTAACAATTCCATAACCAGCCTACGCTAAGCTGGTAATTGCGAATTATTATCCTTTCTCGATGCTTAAGGACAGTTTTATTACCACAGTTAGATTTACAGATTATTGTTTCCCTTCGAACCATCCATTTATGTAATTAGCAGCTACCGGTATCACTTATACAAAGCATTATTTGCAATTGCTTCCTCGATCGGCGAACAAGCGCATAATTATTTTCTTGAAATAATATTCTCTTGAAATAATATTTTCTACGTTTTCATACTTTGCTACGAGCTTGCGTTTATTTTAATAAAATTTTGAATTTCGTGTATGACAAAAAAATTTATTCAAAGGGCTCAATAATTATTTCGCACGTGAAAAAAAAAAAGGTACATCGATACCTTTAAAAGCCCGGAGTGAAACTCGTGAGAAAAATATTGCCAAGGAGCCGGTTTGGGTTTTGGGCCGATTGTGAGAGCCGAGGAGGAGCGATATGAAATTATAATTAAGATTTCGTGCGCGCGCCTCAATATGATCGATCGATTGATCCCGCGGTGCGACACCTGGCAGAAAAGTTCATCGCGATCGATTATCAAACGAACGGTAACTGTTCCGTGTCACTTAGAGGTACATATACATAGAACTTTACGTAGCTCTTTGACGGCGCTGACTTGAAGATTCGATCTGAGTGGTCCATGCTAATTCATTTTTTTTTTTTAGTCAAATCGAATAGAGATACTCGCATAAATTTTGCAAAATCATAATATAACATTTTACCTTAGACAGCGTTGTGTACGGAGCTTAAAGTACCCTTTGCGAGTATAAACTGATTGAAAGTGAAATTTTCTTATATTACCCAACCTATGCGACGCCAGAAGAATCAAGAAGGACCACCCGACCAGTTATTTTTCATCTTTCTCTTTCTCTCTCTTGGGGTGGCTCGGAAGAGAGTAAAAAAGATAAATAAAATTAACCGAATAAATATAAGAGTATCAAGAGTACTATCTTTAAAAAGATAAATTCCAAAAATGATTCTTACATATAAATATATATATTTTTTTAGAAATCTACAAAAATCCTAAATCTCCCTAAACCGAAAATGCAAATTTTCAAAAAGCAAACTTATCAAAAAGCAAAGTTCGATACCAGCAAGGTCGTTCGACCGAAAGCAGTCTAGACCGTGTCGGAAGTAAAGTTGTTAAGAACGTATCGTAAACGCGTGTAAAATCCTCATTAATTCAAAGAACTAGGAACCAGATCAGCACGAGCGTCTACGAGCCAACACGTACCAAAAAGCACTAAGGACAGCGAGCGCCATAGACAGACTTTCACGTAAAAATGTCCAATAGAAATTCTCCCCATACGGTCATTTCGTATTGGTCGCAATGGAATTTCGATTTCGTATCCACGAATAATAAATTAATAAAAATTGACCAACCGCGTCCAAAATATGAACCAATTCCCAATACTATCGTCATCGATAAAATAATCACGTACCAAAAATAAAATGACGTCATCGAGCAGCATGCAATTTTAAAATTCTTCGAACGTTCCGCGAACCGATCGTGAAAGTACATAGTGACGGTACCAGAACGGCGTCGTCAAGAGCGTCGTTTCACGGCGTCGATTAAATCCTTATCGAAGTCCGATCGGTGCGCGTTCGATCTGCGCGCACGATTTCCTTACCATTGTTCTTAAGGAGAGTATCGAGAGCAACCGTTGCGAAATCACGTTGCGATTGTCAATAAAAAGAAAAAGAAAAAAAAAAGCACCTAATGTTTTACCATCATGGAAAATACATTGGGAATTCAATTATCGTATAATTATTGATATTATTATTATTAACAGTACCTAACCTCTCTGACTAACGTAACCAACGCTACGAGCTGGTGCTTTGCGGATCCGCCAAAATAGGACACGCGAAGAAAGTCTTTTCGTATATCTTTTTCCCTCGCTCTTTTGTGAACGGACCTTTATCATCGTCAAATTTCACCGAGGTCGCCCTTCAGTACGTTCGATCCTCCAATTAAACCGATCCCCGAATCGGTAACGACCTCGCGACAGCAATAACGAAATTATGCCGAATCCACAGTAACTTCGAGGTCCGGTGAGGTTGCTTTTATAAGAGGCCAAGATCGGTAACACGTTGGACGATGTTGTGTTACATGCCTGTATGCCGAAACGCTTTCACTTTTATCACAGAAAATCAGCCGGTTATCGGCTATAGTAATCTCTTGTCGAGTACAGTGCTCCCAGGATGCACCGGTCGTCGTGGTGACCGATAACCGTAACGTGCATTTCGGATTCGGCGTCTGAGCGATAAGGAATCATTTTTTTTCTTTATAGGACCCACGGCTCTTGTTCCACGTCTTCTTGAAATGTCTGACATCGACCTGCACGTATCTACTGACTTGTTCTATGCATTTTACTTGAGCGCGACCTAGTACGTATTTAGTCTTATGCATCTACGTAATGTCCACTGATTTCGTCAGAGCCCCCACGGTACAGAGAAAACTGCAAAAACTTCGAAGCTTGCCAAACGTTTCCAAATGGTTACATGAACGACGGTGGACACGCGTTGGCAAGGACGTTGCGTCAAACCGACTGTACCAATTGCATATAGGTTCAGAGCATTGAGCTATTGAGTTAAAAAAATTTTCAATAATTTTTCACAAATTTTGGATCAATATGTCTAATGGTTGCTTTCAATTTTCGATATGGTGGATTTGATTGTAAAGTGAATGAATCAATATATATATATAATATATAAAATGTTCGGCACTCTTTCGATGAAGGTTGCGCAAAGATTTTACCTCGCCCTCTATACCAGTGAGCGTTACATTATTACTGTCCTTTTGTAATAAACCAATTGGTGACTGCCTGGGGCTACCAGCTGCAGTAACGTTCAGCCGCCCCTGAGTGCCGAACGTTAAGTGATTAATTAATTCGTTCTTGATATATATATATATATATAGATGGATTTCCTAGTTGTGCAATGGAAGTGTATATGACTAATCAGAGTATAATATATTAAATCTAGTCCACACCCATGCGTTTCGTGGGTCAGCTGTGATTTTTGAAAAAAAAAAAAAATCAAAGAAATAGTCGTAGTTCGATATTTGGAACGGAGAGAGAAAAAAGTTCCTAGACTCGAGAAGAATAGTTTATAGTGACTTCTAGAGGGAACACATGTTCCACCGTGGGAACCGATGACGAGTCTATAGTCAGTTAACGGTTGTCGCCTGGCAGTACAGTTTCCATTCTGGAAAGTAGCGATAATTTTTCTGAGATTGAAAGCTGGATGATTTTTTTTTAAATTTGTATTTAATGTTTTTGGGGAAAAAAAAGTCTTTCACGATTACAAGGAACATTAAAAAACGATTTGTCGTTAAAATTATGAAAACAAGGAAATTGATGAAAGTGCGAAATGAAGTATGGAAGTCGTAAACGCATGTTGTGGTCTCTTGGCCTCGGGCTTTGACATTTAGCCTCTGTATTATAGTGAATCGTTTAAGAATTTATACGATACGTTATTTCGTAATGGATGCTGGGAGAGAGAGAGAGAAAGAAAACAGGATTCGATTGATACTCGTTTGATCCGCTAATTAAGAGGCCGTTAAGAGTACCGAAACGTGATTATCGACTGGCAGGTGTAACGATTAAATTATTATTAAAAAAAAAAAAAAAAATAATAATTTCCTGAATGTCAATTACAGCGGAACTTGCCATTTCTTTTTTCCTCGACTCATTAATAAAATTACTAAAAATTATTTTTCCATTACGTATACCGTTATGGTTTGTATGAACGAACGGGCAATTTGTTGACTTCGATTTTTAAGGGGCCATTCACACGCAACTGGACCTCATAAAGATTCATGGTAAATTTTCAGAACGTAAACCGTAATCGTATGTCTCGTAAAAGAATCTCGTTATGGGAACTGTCTCCGGTCGATGTATTGGCTATATAAAAAAAATTAAATAAAACTTCACCATAGGAATCCCATGGGATTTGACAGTCTAACTGAAGCAAATACATCCCCATGGCAATTACCCTTCTAACCATGGAGTATAAATACAGTAAGAAAAAAAAATTGACAATCTCGTTCCTTGTAATTCGTGAAAGTCATTTTATCCCATAAAAATCATGGATCGTCAAAGATGAACCATAATTACCCATAAATCTTAATAATTATCTAAGATACAGTGGTAAAGCCTTATGCGCCATCTGAATGAAATTATAAAATTTTATCTCATCTAATCATGTCCCCGGTGAAAGTGCCTCGTCCTCGGCATGATTTTATCTACCGAAATTAACGTAATTACTAATTCATCCTAAAACACCATGAAAAAAAAAAAAAAAAAAAAAAAAAAAAAAAAAAATCATGGATCGTCAAAGATGAACCATAATTACCCATAAATCTTAATAATTATCTAAGATACAGTGGTAAAGCCTTATGCGCCATCTGAATGAAATTATAAAATTTTATCTCATCTAATCATGTCCCCGGTGAAAGTGCCTCGTCCTCGGCATGATTTTATCTACCGA